ACAACAGCCTGGGGACCTTTTCAGAGGCAAAACAATCCAAATTTCTGCCCTTCTGCCCCTTTTCTTTCAGCTGATTTTTTTWTTTTTYTGYTCTCATCYRTTGTGCCTTTGATGCTGACTCTTTTCTCTTTCTGTTTGCAGCTTGAAAATTATTTTTCTAGTCTCAAAAATCCAAAACTCAGGGTAAGTTTCCATCTTTTTTTATTTTTTCTGTAGAAAACTCCAAAGTGACAGAGCACTCACCACTGTGAGGAATTTCATCACAGGTGGATGAGGTTGATAAAAAAATCAGATCTTTTTTTGGTGGGCAAAGGAGATTGAGCTCATTGAAGGGAAAACTCAGATGCCATCAAGCATTAATTCAATAATTTCCCAGGGATTTCTAATAGAGAATTAATGGGGCAGCCCCAAAGTGYTTTTTCCTTGCACTGGAGGTCTTTAATGAGCTATTTCTTCATTAAAAACTGGAATTAAAGGAGGGAATGATGGTTTGAATCTGTCCCAGGTGCTCAGCTCCTGAAATGAGGCTGAGGAATGTTCTGGAATGTTCCTTTTGGGAACAAAATGTTCCTTGGAGTGAGTTGACATTTGCTGTTACACCTGGAATGAAAATGCCAGAGGATTTTTGGGGCTGTGCAGGGCTGGGTTAAACTGAAATAATCAATGAAGAGAATTAATTGAGAATTAATTGAAAATTGGAGGTGAATGTTCATCCTCAGGCTCTGTCAGAGCAGGCTCAGGGGGCTCTGTAATGGAATTATTTCAGATTGCTCTGCTCAAATTTGGGGCAAAAAAGACTACTTGGTGTAAAAAAAAATAAATGCAGACTGGTGTTTTTGGCTTTTCCCGCTTTTCACACTTAAATTTGCCCCTGGTTTGGTTGATAATGTGCTGAAATCAAAGGAGATTGGAATTAACCTGGATCAAACCTCACCTGGAAGGTGCAGGGAAAGCTTTGAGTGAGCTCCTGGAAATTTCCTGTCTGAAAGAGGTTTTTTTTCTAAAAGAAAAAGAGATTTTCTCTGAAGAAGGAAATTTCCTGTCAGCCTGGGAGAAAATCAATTTTAAGAGTTGCTGCTTTTGTTTTTATTAATCACCTCAATAAAGTTGGCTGGAATGGAATGAGGTGATGATGAATGGCTTTGCCTTTTCCTGTTGTGGGAGAATTTGAAAGTGGCAACACAAAATGTTGGGGAAGATACTGAAATGTTGTTATTATTATTATCATAATCATTATCGTTATTAATATATTACTTTGTAATAATCTATATTATAAACATAATTATAATAAACACTATTTTACATCTATAGAAAATTTAAATTAAATATATTACATTTATAGAAAAGACTTTCTATTTATTATATATTTATTTATTTTAAATTTATATAAAATATAAATATAAAATTTAACAATAGTATTATTTTCAAATTAATAGTAACAATAATATTTATAATAAAAATTATTATAGCATAATAATTAGTATTGTATCACGATTATTATTATTATAATAAGCACCATTAAGTTTGTTATATATTTATAGAAAATTTAGATAAAATAGATATTACATTTGTAGAAAAATTATACAATATAATTATAAAATTTAACAATATTATTTTAAAATTAATAATGATAATATTGATAATTATTTTATCACAATCATTATAATTGTTATCATAATAAGCACTATTATTTTATTATATATTTATAGATAATCTATATTAAAAATATATTACATGTATAGAAAATCTATATAAAGTATAAATATAAAATATAACAATAATATTATTTTAAAATTAATAATAGAAATATGGATAATGATGATTATTATTTTATCACAACAATTATTTTTTAATTACAATAATAATAAAGATTGTGATATAATAAGCACTATTATTTTTACTATGTATTTATGTAAAAATCAGATAAAATATAGATTACATTTCTAGAAAACTTATATAAAATAGAAATGTAAAATGTAACAATAAGATTATTTTAATAATAATGATAACATTGATAATAATGATAATTATGATAGTAATAGTAATAATAATTATAATGATAATAATAATATTAATAAATAATAATAATAATCCAAATGAAATCTGAAAGTACCACTGATACTGTGGTGTCAGTGGGGGATTGGGAGAGGAGAATATGGGAAGAATTTGGGATTGAATCCCCCTTGGAGGTGAGGAATGCAGTGAGAAGGAGCTGCTCTCACCTGAGTGTGACCTGGGGCAAAAGGGAACTTTTCCCCTTTTTCTGTGGAGATCTAAGCAGGGAAAGTGAGAAATCTGTGTCCAAAAATGCCAAATCCACAATGAAATGACCAAATGTGTCATTTTTCCCCCAGGAGGAACAAGAGGCAGCTAGACGCCGTCAGCAGAGAGAAAACAAGAGCAACACCACGACCCCAACCAAGGTCCAAGAAAACAAGGTGAACATCCCACATTTCTGTGCTCTGAACGTGTTCCCCCTCAGGCTGGGAGTCAGGAGAGTCTGAGCACACCCAAACTGCTGCTGTGCCCAAAAATGCCACTTGGAGAGTTCAGAAAAGCTGAATTTGGGAGTTGTGCTGCGGATTCTGGCAGTGTAAAGTTGTGGTTGTCCCCAAGTCCCAGCCCGTGAGTGGGGTTCAGAATGTGCTGAAAGTCATTTCCTCTCTGGGCTGATGCTCTGAGAAATGCAGGGCCCAGAAATAGAAAATATTGATTGTGCTCTGGCTTTGGAGTGAAATTCAGCTGAAGGATGGAGGCAGGAAAGGAGGAATAATCAGCTTTTGTTAGAGAACAGGGGCACATTTAACAGAATTGTAGGGCAGTTTGAGTTGGAAGGGATTAAAATTCACCCAT